GATGAGCTACGGTGCGACGAGCCCTAAACGAGTTCATTTCATGTACATCAGGCAGAGAATCCATAATAAAATGGGAAAAATTCTTAACATATACGAGTAAGAATGTGTCCTTATGCGAAGATCCACAATGTTTTGACTATAAGGCTCGGGTTTTCCTAAGCAATGCATCAGAAGCAGTAGATATATATTAGAAAGTTCGTAGGAATCAACAAATAAGAGAAGTTAGAATTAAGTGGAATATATTTACAGCATTTTCTATTTTGTAGACAGTTAAACTAAAATGACTCAATTCTGTGTTCAGTTGCCACCAGTTTAATATAAAATCATGTTACTGAACATCCTTATATGAAGAATATTATCCTCTGTGTTATGTTGTCGTGTAGCCATGGTAGAGAGTTACCAACGTTTCAAAAATTCTGCTAGGCCCATCATCAAGAGAGCAGAGTAAGCCCTTGGCACTGGCTTATTCTTCTCTTCTGAAGGCACAGCCAGCAATTGCTTCCGAAAGTTTACAACTTTCTGACATAAAGAACATGACGTCAGAACACGGATAGCAGTATCTTCATAGCCACAGATTCCATGTATTTTTATATCAGAGTCTAAAGAGTGATCCAAGAAATAGAATTCTCGCCTGTCGAAAGTAATTTCCTACTTGGAAATCTGCAGATCTCTTCTTGGAATTCCGATGTTACACAATAAAGTATCGCGAAAGCATAATGCTTTCTCAATAATAAGAGAATAATTTAAATAGACAGAGGAATCTTCTTTCACGGAAATCTTCAGGTTAATAAAAGAAGATGCATCTGCATTTAATAATCAATTTCTCTATTTGTCCCCTTATATTATATTTTAGCATCCTGTTGCATTGATACTTCACTCGTCCAGTTGTATGCAACATAACACTTTGTTTTAAATTGTCACTTTAATCACCTTTAAATTTCTTAAAACGTCATTAAGATCACATTTTATTTTACTGTTGCGATATGTCTCGGCCCTCTAAGGCCATCCTCAGGCAACTGCCAACCGACTGAACCCCTCACACTTTATCAGCTCGCAGCAGTAAAGCAGTTGTAGCATCATGTACTGTATTGTCATATGATCTGACAGAGTTCGGCGGTTTCGATTGGTTAACAGCTGCCTGAGAATGGCCTTACAGGGCCGAAACATGAAGCAACAGTGAAATAAAATGTGATTTTATTGACATTTTAGTAAATTTAAATATGATCGTAATGATATTTTAAAATAAAATTTATATCGCATTAGAGATGGAATATTAAGAATAAAATTTTGGTATCCTTTATTGTTTCGGCATGTTGATCATATTTCATTCTTACAAGTACAATACCATATCTGGAGAGGGTTTCGAAGTAGAGACCGAAAAGTTACTTGTTTGATTCTCTATCACACTAACATACGAGATTATTAACGACATAGTCTGTGTGGATTTAAAGCTGATAATGAAAAATGAATTTTGAAATTAAATTAACAAATTAATTACGGAGCATTTAGTGAAAATTTGTAAGCTGGAGTGCCCATCATAAAGCTAGCTAAAGGTGACGACTGAACTAATACAGACAAATGCGATAACTTCTTAAAATTATTATTTCTCACTGGTATGTCGTTGATTTGGTCGTAAAGAAATAATTTTGCGTATATTATTCGACGAGTCTTTGAAAACCTTCCACAGTATTAAACCAGCTTCGACCGTTTCATGAAGCACACTCCGTTTTTCATCCAGTACTGCAGCATCCAAACTTTTTGAAACAAGAGCGACATCTTTGTCGCTTTTTACCCTGTACATTATCCAACCCCTAAGTTTATACTGCTCTCAGCCACGGTGCAGGCCTTCCCAATGGACGGATCGGATTAAGACTCCCTTCCACCTGCAGATGAAAGCAGAACCTTGTTCAGAATGTTCAGTTCTGTGTAATATGTAGGATAAATATTTCCGATTCTCTTTAGTACCATAACATTCAGAAATTAATAATTGTATCTACAGCGGAAACATATGCCAAATATGATTACTCGTCCAAGGAGTCCTACCGTCTGTGAAAAATGATCATGGATCTGAATAAGAGGCCTGGGCCCTGAATGGGGTGAGGAGCCATTGAAGGAAACGGTATTTGAGATTTGTTATGGATACTTCACTTGCTACAAACGTTTAAGAGAAGTTAATGAAACATCGTTACATCAGAAAAGGATCAATCTGGAGGACTGAATACATTTCTCATTTAATAATAATTACATATTGAAATACAAGAATGTTTTTGTTATAATTTCAAATATAAACACATTGAAGACTCTAGCAATCACTTCAATCTAATTTTGAAATTCTTGAGCAGTTTGGCCTAATCAATTTCAAATGTTTATAATTTTGATTAAAACTTTGAAGTAATTTAATAACTCTCGAAATCGAAGTAGATAATTCACTGCTGTGTCAGTCAGGTAATCTAGGTTTTTGCTAAATGATTCGTATATTCTTGAGAATTTGAAGCTTATAGAAGAGCTTCAGGCCGAGCACGGTAGCTGAGCGGTCTAAGGCATGCACTGACTTCACTCGCTTGGAAGCCGGGATCGTGGGTTCGAATCACACTCAGGGCATGGATGTTTAGTTTGTGTGCGTTTTTCTGTGTTTGTCTACAGGTAGAGGCCTTGCGACGAGCTGATCACTCGCCCAAGGAGTCCTACCGTATGTGTAAGATCTGGAAAAACCGAAGTGAACGGAGTTCATGGAGGTAGTCCTAGACCCACTGGGACTGTAGTGCCAAGGGAAAAAAAAAAAGAAGAGCGTCAGATGTTCAAAGACCAATAATCTTAAACATAAAATAACTAAATGAGTGAAAAGTAAATGACATGTAATAATTTGTCTGAATTTTAAATACGCACAAAATGCAATGACACTTTTTTTATTTTGCGTCCCAAAGACCACTAAAGAGACCTTAGTCCCAGCGCAGTAAAAACAAACATTTCTTTTTGAAAAAAAAGGGAATCAATGGAATTATGTACGAGTATATTTTAGTACTATATTGAACATTAATAGAAGTTCTGTTTTCGAATTCCCATATTTCTCAAATTAATTTTAAATCCAATCTATTCAGATACACTTACTCTAAACTAAAAATTTAAATTTACTCTCTATTTTTTTTAAGCTTCTGCACGGAAAATCTTGTTACAGGATAGTACGTGCAGTAAACATCTATCTCTGTAATCGGCCGTGAGGCCCACAGGTTTGTGAGACGTCGAGGTTCCCACATTTTCTAGACAGTCGACTCACAGATGATGGTATAATTGTCAGCCTTACGAGCTGGCCACCCTTTACCACGCAGGAAGTTTCCTGCTACTCATTTCTGTTAGAGGCTGAGTTGACCCCAGAGCCATAGTGCGGCTGGAAGGATTAAGTCAAATGAATAATCCAATGACACTGAGAATTGAACCCGCTAACGTCTGGTTTGTATCGTAGTGGTTCAACCAACTACGCTACAGAGTGCTCCAGTAAGTTCACTTCCTTTTCATATAACTCCCGTACAATATATTCCTCAGGGAAATGTTAAAACATTGTCACGTGAATTAGTGGCTATAGACGGCGTTCGGATTTGTAATTGAATTCATTGACCACATATGAGTAGTAACTACAAATATGTATGACACTGTTTTTTATTTTCACACTACAAATCACTCCAGATTAGATCATCTTAGTCTGCTGTCACTACTGTTCCTAACAGTCCTCAACAATCGCTATTCTTTTACAACGTTTTCACTATTCGCTTCCTGGCAACGGATTTTAACAAGGAAGCTATAACAGTCACGCTCCGGATGTCATTGTACTACAGCACGCATAAAGTCTTCAAATCGCACGCTATATCTTCTCTTTACAGGTTGACTTTCAAGCGTGAACTCACCTGCACTCAATAACTCCATCCCTTGATTCCACATTCCGATATTTTGCTCCGAATCTCATATCCTGGCAGGCTGGTACCTCGAGCTAGACTCCTTCAAGCGATTTTCAGTGTCTTTTATAACCACTCGGCCCAGACCACAGCAGAGAACATGGCCTCGGCGTGGACCTACAGAAAATATCTGCCTGCAGCACTTATTCTATTGCTGTGTGACTTTTCCGCGCATGCGTAAGCTGCCCGCTCCATAGCAACGGTCCGTAAGCGGACCGCAGAACACAATGCTCCTGTATTCTTTGCCCCGTGTGTTATGGCCGTTGTCTAGCAATGGATCTACATATCAATTTTTCTTTCCAGTTGTCTAAATAATCTGAAATTTAAATATATCAATGTTCGGATTTATAAAATACATTCATTATTCTCCATAAATATATCGGAACTAGAGTCCTAATCGCACGAATTCTTTTGCAGAGGAAATAGTGTTACACAACAAACGAAGAACGAGCAAGTTGTCTGTCAGTTCTGTTTATGAAGTTTCTTAAGTTTGTCACTTTCATCGTAGAAGGCGAATATTAATATAGATACTCATTTATGTCGAGAAAATTATACTTATAGTAAAGGCAGTCCGTTATACTGGAATTTTTGTTTCCTTATGAAATTAGCTTACGAACTTCAGGAAGAAATACGGAATGGGGTGATGTCTCTTGAAAGTGGAATAATCTTTTCACGTAAGACATAAATTCAACCCGACTAAAGTCTCTGTCACATGGAATATTGTAACTACTATCAGATGACCTGAGGACAACCTGGGAATATTTAGGTGTTCCTTACCAACATTCAATGTAATTTAAACTCGATTTATAAGGCTATTTATTCTGAATTCGTGCTAGCTCCTACATAACTGGTTATAATTATTACATAAAATCCAGGACATAGAAGGAGGAGAGGCAGGGATGGTTTGTGGTCAAATACCGCCCGGCCAGGGTTGGAGCGGGCTGCCATCGAGAGATCGGAACGACCCCAGTCGAACGTAGCCGAAATGGCGATCGCGTCTTGCGCGAAGCAGCGCAGGGGAAAAGCCGGGGCGTGATCAGTCTGGTGCAAACCTCCGGTTCGCGCGCTTCGTAACCGCCATCTTTCCCATGCGGGCTCGTCTCCCAAAACCACTTGGCAAGAAGTAATTCTACCTAGTCTGTATATTTGTTTTTGTATTATTACCAATGATACTAGTTCTCTAGTGCCATTGTTCCAGACGTGAGTTGTGTTTTAATTTTCAAACTGCTGGACACTTTCTCTGTGTGCGTACATTTATTACGTATATATATTTCTTGGTCAGTTCCAGAAACATTGAATCATTTTTCTCGTGTTATTACTTGACCTTAACAAGGATGCCACTTGGTCAGATAACATTCTTCCAACGGAATTGTGAATTTTGTACAGAACTGTGTGAGCAATGTTATATTTGAATTGTTGAGTAAATTTCGCAATTTATCGTGATTATTACAGTTCTTAAAAGAAAGTTTTTTGTGTAATTTAGAACAAAATATTTTCTGAGGTTCTTTTCAACTGCGAAATGTGAATGAGTGCTGAGCAGTATAACTGATGAAAGTGGTGTTTGTTCTGATTAAACCAACAAAATCTACTTTGCTTCAATAATATGATCCATTATTTTCTGTGTATACTTTTATGTCTGTGATGGTCGTTAGTGGTTGATATAAGTCGGCAAATATATTCCCATCTCAAAACGTTGTTTCGCAACATTAAAGAGGGGGAAATGAAGAAATCAGTGTAAAACATCTTGTGTGATTTGTGAAAGTTTTATTTGTATTAAACCTGTAGACCATCGCTCGTCGAGATTGCCCCTGTTCATCAGATCGGCTTCAGTTGTTTCCTTAGTGTTTCTGGATTTAAAAGATGAACAATGAACGGGCCCTCAGCGTCACGTACTGTGGGCCTCCTTAGAGTTATCTTCTTTACTCTCTGCGTCAACAGCGACACGGCATCGGCGACAGCGGTTGTGGCGACTGGTAAAACAGGTAAGTGTCGGACATAATTGCTTAAATATGTGAACTAGTATCTTAGAGTCAACTAATTTTCGTCAGTCGAATTTAGAAAGTGCATTAACAGTGTCATGTTGAAATGTATGATCATAGAGTTGGTCGAGTGCATTCGGAGTTGGATGACTGATTCACGGAGAAAGTTGATCACAGCATCAAATTGGTACGATACAAATGGCCCTAAAGTTCTGTTGTCAGTTTCCAGGCAGTATTCTCCGAAACTAGAATAATTCTATTCATTGTCACTTCCGTGGGGACAAGCGGTAGCATAGGTGGTTCAGGCACTATGCTACAAGCCAGAAGGTGGCAGGTTCAATTCACGATGAGGTCATTGGATTTCTTTCTATTTACCTAAACCTTCCAGCCGCAACATACCCCTGGGATTGACTCCGCCTCTAAGAGAAAGGAGTACCAGGAATCTTCCTTGGGGTAAAGGCGGCCGGAGCATAAGGCTGACAACTTCACTGCCATCTGCGAGTCGATTTTCTAGAGAATGTGGAAGCCTCACAACCATATGGACCTCCACGGCCTGTTACAGTAATTGCTTTACCTTTTTGCCTTTATTGTCACTACCGTTTGATAGGGGATTTTAATTGACACTATGATCGATATGAATTCGCTTCTGTCAGGGGATTTTAACAGAAAGTGAAATTTATAAGCGACTCACATTGAGTTACTAAGTTGAAAGGAATTTTGACCCAGAAAAGTGAAATTTATCCGCAAGAACATTTTGTTTGACTCTTTAATTACTACTATATTAATTTTTACCAGATTTATGATACTTTCTTGAAGGTTAATGATGTAGTCTGTTAAATTCTCTCACCTACTTACGCAACGGTTGCTTCTAGAAGCATATGCTTGCACGTATATTCCGTGACCATTGAAACTAGCTCTATTCAGTGGAGCAATGTGACTGTCACATAGTACGTGTTGCGGGGTACGGAAAATGTTCCAGTAGCAGGGAATAGTGTGCAGAGGCAGAGTTATGTACATACTACAACACGACTGTTTAAATACAGCTATTACAGCTGTTCTCGGTTTCGCATTCTCCTACTTGAATGTTTATACTACAGGTAACCGGGAAGGGACACAACAGAAATGGTCACTACGTGTATGTGACTTCTTGTTAATTTTGACTGAAGAGCGATTTAGTTGAATATCATGTTGTGAGAGCATGCTTGCCTGATAAATGTACCCAAGAAGTGTATCAGTTTTACAGAATTGGAATAGCGCAG